ATGGCTTGTATCTGCTCCAGGGCAAAACTGTGATTGGAAGTGCAGCAGTGGCCTCAAAGGTGATTCAAGACTACACCTCACTTTGGCATTTCAGGTTGGGACATGTCAGTGAGAGAGGGCTGCAAGAATTGGGAAACCAGGGAGTGCTGGAAAAGAAGAAACTAAAAAAGCTAGACTTCTGCGAGCACTGTGTGTTTGGAAAATCTTGCAGAACCAGGTTTGGAACTGGAGAACACCGAACAAAGGGCACACTGGACTATATGCATTCGGATTTATGGGGGCCTTCAAGAATCGTGTCCATAGGTGGAGCAAGGTATTTTATGTCTTTGATTGATGATTATTCCCGTAGAGTGTGGGTTTTCATTCTGAAAAACAAAGACTTAGCCTTGGAAACTTTTAAACAATGGGTGGTGTTGATTGAAAATCAAACTAGAAAAAAGGTTAAGAAGCTTAGGACTGACAATGGATTAGAGTACTGTTCTGGATTGTTTAAGGAGTATTGTAGTTCAAAAGGAATTGCTAAGCAGCTTACGGTTGGGGGTACTCCACAACAAAATGGTCTTGCAGAGAGGTTTAATAAGACCATTTTAGAAAGGGTTAGATGTATGTTTTCTGTGTCAGGGCTGCCTAAGACGTTTTGGGCAGAGGCAGTTAAAACTACTTGCTACTTGATCAATAGATGTCCATCCTCAGCAATACAGTTTAAAACACCGTTGGAAATGTGGTCTGGAAAACCAGGCAGCTATGAAAACTTGAAAGTGTTTGGATGTGTGGCATATGCACATATCAAACAAGGCAAGTTAGAACCGAGGGCAAGGAAGTGCATCTTTATGGGATATCAAGATGGAGTCAAGGGCTACAGACTCTGGAATGTAGAAACAGATAGGCCTAAGATCATCATCAGTAGGGATGTAACTTTCAATGAGACTCAATTCTACAAGGACTTAAAGCCGCATTCAGATGGGGGAATTGAGCAGACATCGGATGAGGGAATAGAGTTTGAGGTGGAGCCTTTGGAGCAAGCGGGCATGACTCAAGTTGAGACAGGTTTAAATGGTGACCAGCCATTAAGAGGAGGATCGGATCAACATGAGTACCACCTGGCCAGAGATAGACAAAGAAGGGACATAAGACCACCTAACAGGCATGGGTATTCAGACCTTACTGCTTTTGCATTGAATGTAGCAGAAGAAATCAATGAACCTGTTAGCTTTGAACAAGCTATAAATTGCCCAGAAAAAGGAAAATGGAAGCAGGCAATGAGGGAGGAAATGGACTCTCTACTCAGGAACCAGACTTGGGAATTAGTGAAAAAACCTCAAGGTCAGAAACTAGTTGGCTATAAATGGATTTTCAAGCACAATGAGGGAATCTCGGGAGTGGAAAATTCAAGATTCAAAGCAAGATTGGTAGCTAGAGGTTTCACACAGAGAGAAGGGATAGACTATACAGAAGTCTTCTCTCCTATGGTAAAACACACTTCAATCAGGGTGCTGCTTGCTCTCACAGCAGTCCAGGATCTTGAATTGGAGCAACTGGACGTGAAAAGAGCCTTCCTCCATGGAAAGCTTGAAGAAACCATATACATGAAGCAACCACAGGGTTTTGAAGTCAAGGGAGATGGTGAACGGGTTTGCCTACTCAGAAAGTCCCTTTATGGACTAAAACAATCCTCGAGGCAATGGAACAAAAGATTTGATGAATTCATTATCAAATCTGGCTTTCTTAGAAGTCAACATGACAATTGTGTCTACTTCAAGTCACTTAGAGAGGACAAGATCATATACTTGCTGCTCTATGTGGATGACATGCTCATAGCTTGTCAAGACTTGACGGAGATTAATAAAGTCAAGGAAATCCTACAAACTGAATTTGAAATGAAGGATCTCGGAGCTGCTAAGAAGATCCTAGGCATGGAGATCACTCAGGACAGAGAGAAGAAGACCCTATCAGTCACACAACAAGGGTATACAAGGAAGGTGATCCAGAGGTTTGGAATGACAAATGCCAAACCTGTACTAACTACTTTAGCCCAACATTTCAGGCTGTCGGCTGCTGACTCACCAGAAATTGAATATGACAAGAAGTTCATGGAAGTTGTACCTTACTCAAGTGTTGTAGGCAGTTTAATGTACTGCATGATATGCACAAGACCAGACTTAGCTCATGCAGTAAGTGTGGTGAGCAGATTCATGAGTAATCCTGGGAAACAACACTGGCAAGGAGTAAAATGGAAATTAAGGTATCTACAGGGAACTTTGAATCATGGAATGGTGTATGGCCAAGCAGGTGGAGCTTGTGAGGAGCTGTTGGGTTATGTAGATTCAGACTTTGCAGGGGATTTGGACCATCGAAGATCACTTACTGGTTATGCATTTCAGGTCCAAGGATGTACAGTGAGCTGGAAATCAACTCTTCAGAACGTGATAGCCTTATCCACTACAGAGGCTGAATATATTGCTTTAACTGAAGCAATAAAGGAGGCTTTATGGCTTAAGGGGTTATTAGAAGAGTTGGGTATCAAACAAAAGGAAGTTGTAGTACTTTGTGATAGCCAAAGTGTTATACACTTGTCCAAAAATCAAGTGTTTCATGAGAGGACAAAACACATTGATGTGAGGCTGCACTTCATTAGAGATATCGTGTCTAAAGGGGAGTTACAGGTGAAGAAGGTTTCCACTGAGGAAAATGCAGCTGATATGACTACTAAGTCATTACCAGCTTCAAAGTTCCAATACTGTTTGAGTTTGTTGTCTATCAAACCAGCAGGGCAGAAATGAATCCTTCTGGGAAGGGAAAGGAGGTGTCAAGACATGGTTAATCCAGCGTCCAAGATGGAGATTTGTTAAAAGCATCTGTGGCCGTGGATTAAGGGGTCTTGAGTGGATGACGTGGAGCATTGAGTGTACAAGATTCAATGGAATAGTCTTATTGTTACAAGTGGTCTAGTCGGTGAGCTTAGGTGTATATTACTAAGCGTACAGTGTAAAATTCTTCTAGATTGTAACAGAAAGAAAAAGGACTTAGAGAGAGATTGAGAGACTGTGATTTCTAGAGAGAGAAAGTCCAAGAAGAAAGAGTCTGTAATCTTGAAAACGTTTGGAATAAAAGTTTACGTTTTTCCTTTCCATCTTTATCTGTGATTGAGCCTTTGTTCTGTGACTGGGTGTTTTATTCAACAGTGTGGCCCTTTTGATAACACTTAGAGAGAGCGATATACCAAACTTTTTATCATTAAGAAGGAAAATAAAAAAAAAAAAGTTATATACTGCTGTAATTTTCTCGAAAGCCCCTTTAAGACTACTGTTGCTGCATAAACTGAAGCTGATAGGAGACTTATTTCACAAGCCCGTACAAGTGGAGACACTATTTTATTTTACGCCCGATTCCCTTCTTAGGGAAAAAAAAAAAAGAAATATATACATACATACATATATATATGTATATATATATATATATATATAGAGACGTGGACATAGAGTTTTTCACAAAAGAGAGTGAAAATGACCTGGAAATGACTGATGGCTAATAATAGCATTAACTAATTAAGAAACCAGTAACAAATGCGCGTATAGCTAGGTTGCTGAGACCTCCACAGATAATTATTCATATCAAATATTCTCAGCCCCACACACACAATACACATGTCATTCAATAGTCAGCCAAACGTCAGATGTAACTAGTCATGAGTCGTGACAAAGGGACCAAAATGAAAACATATCTAAACATGATTCATTAAGTGAAAACTGCAGCACTTGGTATTACGTATATGCATGTGTCAGTTTTTCTGACTATAATCAAATGAATAATTTACTTTTTGAATGGAACTTAATTAGTGTTCAAATGGATCTGGTTCTTATGATTAATTGCTCAATATATATGAGTAAGTAAAAAGTTCAGAAATTCGGTTGATTTTAGTTTTTCCTTTTTTTTTTCTGTTTACAAATACAATTGAGTTGTCGATGTTCCTTTTTTTCTCTCTCTATTTTGGTCAATTGCATACTTCACATTATCTTTACATCGCATGGACTAGTTACATTAAAGGCGCGTTTACTAAACTGTAAAGGGAATGTAATGAGGAAGGGATCAGAAAGAAAAATAAAGTAATAGGATTAAGAGTCATTCATTCTCTTTCAAGTGTTTACTTGACTATTAGATGGTATAATATGAACCAGTCACATTTTCTTTTTTTATGTTTAGTAAAATTAGGAATTAGCAATATTATTAATGTAATCACTAAAATTTTCTTTTACACAATTTGATAATCCTTGACTATAGAGTAACTTATTAATAATAAATTTAGCATTCATTCCCTTTGACAAGAAATCAATGTACTAAAGGGGTGTAAGAATTAACACTCTATTTCCTCATTTCTTATATTGTGTGGGAGTGGGACCTACTAAATCACAATTTTGTAAATAAACAAATTATTAGATGAGAAAATGAATCACTACTCAATTTCATTTTTCTATGCATTAAACATGCCCTAAGCCTATAAACATAACAGTGAAGACAAGTTTTTTGTCTTTGGCAAAGTACCTTTGGTGACATAATTACATCATTATTTTTTTTTAAACCTTAGAACTGGATATAATAACCTGACCTAAAACAATGTTTTAAAAAAATATACACAAAATATAACTTAAAATGATATATAATTCTTCTTTTCTTCTTGTTTTTTTTCCCCTTATTGAAAGGTATAATTAAACCGTACCCCTTTTTCTTCATTTTATTGCTTGACATTAAAACGTACCCTCCATTCCACATAACTAGTTATACTAAGCAGCGGCACATCAAATCAAGCTAAATCATGTAGAACTTTGTCAATATAAAAGTAATGCCTCAAATATTATTCTTGGAATATATATTTTTCCTTTTATATATAACGACCAAGGTCATCCTTGTACAATTACGACTATCTAGTTAGCCACTAACATCGGTCGATCGTCGTAGAGATACTAATTATATGAGTAAGAAGAACCTTGTACGTGTCACAACTCTCAGCGTGAACTAGAGAACTTCCTTGTTCGAACGTAAAGAACAATAGCCAAAACCGTCCCAAGAGAACAAATAAAGCCCCAAAGAAGAAAGGTTTTTTCATAGCATTCCGTTCCCATGCATTTCCCATCTCCATTTCCTTCCCTACGGTAAACAAGAGCGGCAAAGTAGCCAAAAACAAAGGACCCTATCGGGATATTTACAACCAAGACATTATGGTTTACGGAGAAATTTTTGTCACCAAATAACTCTTGTGTTGTGGACACAGAAATCGAGGTAATTGCTCCCGTACAAACCCCTATTATGGCCGTACTAATGTAGAGAGAGAGGTTTGTTGAGTTGAGAAGCAAGAGAAATGATCCTGCCATTGGAGCCACCAACACCGCTATTAAAGCCGGTCTTGAAACCACATACTTTCTCCTAAAAATTCCAAATAAATAAATAAATCAATCAGTGAATTATAATAAAAGAAAATAGTAACGTATAATATAATTGATATTAGTAATATATTTTTTACCTTGAGAAGTGATAATCAAGGAGAGAAGGCATGAGACGGCCAAAGAACCCAAACGAAGAAGACAGAGAAACTAGAGAAGAGGTTCTAGAGGACCCACGAGATTCGGCTATTTGTCCCAAGTTGTTCAAGAACACCAAACCAACTGTAGCACCAGAAAAGTAGACTAGAAAATATAGCCAGAAATCAAGCCTTACTAGCATCTTCTTCACTCCAATCTCCTCTCTAACACCAATATCACCCTTAATAATATTATTATTATTGTTATTTTGATCTTCTTCATCTTTCCCTCATGATCTTCTTCTACTCTAATACCATTACTCTCTTCATCAATTGTAAAATCACAAACTCTTCTCTCCCTATTCAAATTCCACTTCTCCAACAAGCCCAATTCTCTGATTTTGGCCATCACCGGAATGGCGAGTGGCACCAAAAGCAAAACCCCAGTTCCAATAACATTATTCAAGGCAGAACTAGACACCAACAACCCTAAACTGCTTATCACGGAATAAACACCGGTAACTATAGTAATCACAAAGAGAACAACAAACCCGGCGTCCATATGGTTGTTCTTGAGCCTTTGAATGTCGTCAATGTCTCTAACAAACGGTGAAGTTATTACACAAACCGCAAGGGGCAAAACCGAGTTGAGAAGAAGATATCCCTTTGCTGTTTTTGTTGAAGAAAACAAAGCACCAACGACGTCCGTGTAGATCTTCGCGCTTAGTCCTTGATAGCTGCTCGTCACGCCGACGGCGGCTTGGCGGTTTTGCGGGAAGTTGCGAATGCTGACGACGTAGGAGACGGTGTTGATCCAGCAAATGCTGTTCCCGGCGAGGACTGTGAGGCAGAAAACTTGCCAGTAAGAGAGAGTTGGGATATGGTTTGTTATGGAGAGGTATTGGAAACCGTAACCGACCAACCCTATGGTTGAGCCAATGATGAGGACGAGCCAGAGGGGTAGGTAGGCGACAGCGAGGCCCGAGAACCAACCGAAGAGCTTCCCGGCGTCGGAGGCGAAGGCGAGGTTGTTGAGTTGCAGTTGGGACATGGAGAGGGCGTGCTTGAGTTGGGAGGAGTAGGCGGGGAAGTTTGTGTTGGTGCCGTTGATGGATTGGAGCCAAATTACGCCCACAAGGCTTAGCCATTGGAGAACCCTACTACTTGAGGCAGGCATGGCAAGAAAGAGATATGCAAGAAACGTCTTAATTTGTAATGAATTTGAGAGTAATAATAATATTGGTGTTTCAATTGGCACAAGTTATTAACAAGTGGGACGCTTAACAAGCATATATAATACATGTGTGGGCTTGTATCTACGGCAACAATAGAAATACATTGTGTGACCTGGAGAAGACGTTGTTATACTAGTACAGTGCACTTTTTTCCGGTCGTGTCCTAATTCGCCACAATCAATGGCACACTTTAGAGAAACTTATGTAGAATGTGAAAATTTGGATTGGTTGTTGAGTAGAATATCAAATATGAAAATGAATGCGGGTTTGGAAGGGGCTAATGGTGATAGTGGCTTCGGAGTTCATAAGACTGCTGGTCAACTGCTGGTCAACTGCTGGAAAAAGAGGTAGTTGCCTAGCTAAGGCCTCACATAAATAATAGGCCTGATAAATTTTGTTCTTCTCATAAAGGTTCCCGTAATTAATTAAGACTAATTAAATATTTACACCTCTTAGAGAATATATTAAATTACAAAGACTTTTTTTTTGTTTATATCCTTTTCATTTTTTTTTTTTTTTTTTTGCTTGAAATCTCTTTTTTAACGAGACAAACTGCTTTCGCTTTTATTCCATTAGTGATAATACTTAATACACTAATTTAGAGAGTATATTATTTGTAGTTTAAAGTTAAATAATTAATAACTTTCTTTTTTGAAAAGTTTTGTTAACCTTTCCATTAAAAAAGTTTTGTTTTTACCTTAGGTCAGTAAATAGTTAATCTCTCATTCTTATATTTTTCCCTTTCATCGCTATTCTTAATCGTTACAAATTACATTTACTTTTGTTTAATTCACAAATTACATTTACTTAACTTTGTAATTTGTATCAAAATTTCTTCTTTCTAATTCCTATTTGGGACATATTATGAGAGTCAATCATATATTTTGTATCAACAATTATTTTATATTTATTTTCTTAGTATTTGTGCCCAGGCCAACTCTTTTAATATTAATTTTAGAGGATTATTTTAACAGCTTTCCGTTTGAATGCTTTCTCATATAGTTTTTTTTTTTTTAGAAAAAAATTTATATATATGCACATACTATGAATAGAAAAATGAATTTTTAGTCACAACATTTTGTACCATTTTTATAATATTTTTTTTTACTAAATATTGTTACTTTTACTCACAATAATAACATTTTAGTCCCAAATTTTTTATGTGACTGAAACTTTTAGCTGCAAAGTTTTTAGTCATGGAAATTTTTTGGTGTGACTAAATTTTTTTTTCCCGCGATTAAAAATCTCATGACGAAAAGGCCATCACACTAAAAATTTGTAACTAGGCCCCGTTCTTTTCGCTGATTCGAGTTTAGAATTTGAGTTTTGCTACAGTAAAAAACTCTCAGAAACAGTCACATTTAACTTTTTTACTACTAAAAAAAATCTCACACAATATCACATCTCAACTCAAATTAAAAACTCGAATTAGCGAACTGAGTATATTAATGATAAGGTTGTGATTAACAGCGCATCAAGAAAATGTTGAGACGATGTGTTGTCATAAATGGCTTGATCTCAAAATAGTGAAAAGTCATTTATATACATGGTGTGGTAAAAATCAGACCACGTATCTCAAAAAAAAAAAAAAAAAGATTAGTTCTTACTTCTATTTTTTTTTGGGTAGCATTTATTAAGTATCGGGAATTTAAAAATAAATTGTCCTACAACATTGGAAACCAATTCTGCTTTCTTTTTCCCTTAAAAAAAAAAAGAAAGAAAAAGAAAAAGAAAAACTTTACCGCACTACTCCACTAATTTGTCGGGTAGACCGGCTATAACCCAATTTCAACTTGATTTTTTAAGTTTATATATAGTTTATTTTATCAATTTAAATTTTATTACAGTAAAAAAATTTTAAAAATAATCACATTTAATTTTTTTATTATAATAAAAATATTTTATATAAAATTACATCTTAACTCAAATCAACAAATTAAATGCACCTTATTAAAAACCTTGTCATGTTTAATCACTTCCCAAACTATCTACCATCGTATTGTTTATATATATTTCCTTATCCAATACTTATTTTCTGAATTCTAATCATACTAGAAGACAAGACTTGTTGTCTGAGAGGTCAGTTTCACTCTTGAATAATAATACGGCGCTCCAATTCAATTCTCCTAAAAATACTTTGTCCTAAAAATTCCAAATAAATTTAAGACTTGAAAATCAATAGTCCTTGATCCACAGTATATATATGAATGAATTTCTCATACGATGTACAGGAGTGTACTTATATATATTACTATGATATTAAATCAAGATAATCCATGTGTAAAAGGGTGTTATATATACTGCGCAGTGCGTATATATGTGTGTGTGTATAGCCATAGACTTGGCAGAATATCATGTGCAGTTTTGTCATTAATTGCACCCTTAACATTTGGTGAACGAATTTCATTTATTCCCGGGCCAGGGGCAGCTCGCTCGCGATCTAACAATAAGTTTCAGAAGCTTATTAATATTAATTAGTATACAAAAAGCTCGCAGAAGGCTCTAACTATAATATAATGAACAATATATATATATATATATACACACACACACATATATTTGAAAGGATAATGAACAATATTTATCGTTTACATATTCATGACATGTGACCATACCAATTTGGCGATTATTTTGCTATTTAATCTCTTAATTCGATAGGCTGGCCTTGGGCGCCTGGGAAATTAAGAAAATAATTATTATGTACTCAGTATATAAAAAAGGTATATATTTCCCAATATAACATAGGCTAATTCACAAAAATAAAAATAAAACGTATATGCTTAATTATTATTTAGGTTAACTACGATTTTCTTTTTTCTTAAAAGAAATATGATGCTATCCTTTCTAGAGAATGAATGTAAAGACTTTTTAAGTGACAAGAAAGCTGTTCGGTTCTACAAACTTACTCGAGAAAAGCCTACTCAAATTTGAGAAAGGCCCAAGTTCACGTTCATCCCGTGCTTACTCAAAACCATACTCGAGAATTAAATTCGAGTACCCATCTATTCTCGAGTTCAACCTCCCCCACCTTCTTGAGTTAACTTCTTTACACTTCTACGGTGTTGATTCCTGGCCTTCACGTGAGCAAACAGTAGATATTACATCATGTATGTAGACTTAATGTTATAAATTATGTTTTCTTGTTGTGTTTGTGTCTCCATTAATATAGAAACTGATGTTGTATTATATATTTATTTTTATGGTTTTTTAATTTTTTTAATGAAGAAAAAGGCTCACGTTGTTTTTAAACTTATTGCTACTTATAGATGATTAATTTTTATTTATATCTAATTTCAATTGTATAAAGTGAAATAAATTCAAATAAGAAAAAAATTTATTTCTCTCCCCACTATTCACAACTCAAGTCTTGATAGAAATAAACACAAACTCAAAAAGATTTACATCTCAAATCATAACTCAAATATACACAATTAAATATAAACTCAAGTTACAATTTCAACTCAAGTTATAACTCAAAATTAATTCAAAATTATTACTCAAATCACCGTAACTCAAAAATAAAAAAGAACAGGCCCAAGATAATTACTTTTCCTCTTTTCAAATTTTCCATAGAGAGAAAATTTTGTCTCACCTCTATTCTTGTTCATGATTGCCATATTGCCATCAAAAGTGGTCTGGCTGAAGTGACCAGCGGACTAGTTGGTGGACTCAGGTGTCGACCAGCGTCAAGTGGTGATTTATGCATCGCAAAGAAGACGCGAAACAAGGAATAAAAGAATAAACCACGTCAATTGTATATTCACCAAAACACGCGCGCGCTCGCACACGTGAATTGTAATTTTCAATTTCAACAAAAGAAATGTGAATTGTAATTTTCAATTTCAACAAAAGAAATGGAGTGTATCTTTATTTACATGGAAAAAATATGTTTTACTAGTAGTAAAAAGAAAATTTACGTAAAAAAATATTTTTTACATGTCGTAAATGAACTATTTACGTGGTAAATGATTCATTTATTATGTAAACTATTATTTATTTTAAATAATTTTAAAATCCATTATTTACTTAATTTATTTTTAAAAAAATTTGCTATTTTTTTCCTACTTTAAAGTATGCGTTTGGTTGCAATAGAGGAATGGTAATGAGATTGAGAATAAGAATGGAAATGAGAATGATAATAGAATAAAATAAAAAGAAAATTTTATTTAATTTGTTTAGTTGTAAATTTATGAATAATATGAAATGGAACATAAATATTTGTATGTTGACAAAATTACCTTTATCTTATGTATACAACACTTATATTTTATATATAAATATAATTAATATAATATACAAAATGTAATATAGTATAATAAAACTATAAACATAGAATATATTATATAATTGTGACATAGAATATAATAATATTATGATAATGATTAATTAATATAATTATAATAGTATAATTATAGTAATAATTATGTTTTATAATATATAAAATATAAAAAATAATATTATATAATTAAAAGTAAAAATATCTCAGTTATATAAGATTACAATAGTACAACTACCCTTTGACTCTCAAAATACAAAAATAGTAGAAAATATGCCAATATGAAAAGCTTAAGAAAGTATATAGGCAAATTTTTAGTTATAAAAATTAATAGGCAATAACTTGTCAAGTTATGGTTCATAACCAGATAAGTTATGGACAAATAAGTTATGAACAAACTTGTCAAGTTATGGTTCATAGCCAGATAAGTTATGGACAAAAACCGTGAATTATGGATAATAACTTGTCAAGTTATGGTTCATAACCAGACAAGTTATGGACAAAAATAGTAATTTAGTCTATTTATTAACTTATGTAAACTATTAGCCTATTAATTTTAATTCATCTTAAGTCTTAGCATATTTTTCTCTTTCACCCCCTCAAAATATGGTATGCTCCGTATAGCGTATAATAAAATATAATAGATCATAATATTATAATTATAAT